CATGTAAACAATTGCTATTTTGGAATGAATATGATTTTGTTGTCCGGTTGTAAATTGTGTTGTATCGAGAAAACAGGTTGTACAAAAATAGGGCTAATGGGTTCGACTAAAAATATAGGTAGGCTAATGGGCAGGAAAAAAATAAACAACTAATCGGTTGGACTGTCCACCAAAATTATTGGGCCAAATCCATAATTGGGCTGGCTAAAACATGGGCCAAGTTAATCTCCACGTCAGATCCACGTTGAAACCTTGTTAGGTCCATGTTGCATCCACGTCATGTAAATCGGTGACGATTTGTTCCGTCACAACCTAGTTTGGGCTTGGAGGGCCTGGGGCAGATCCATGACGGCCAAGAACCATCATGGAAGGTACAATGTCAAATTATGATGCGATATACATGACGAGTTTCAAATCCGTCATGGTTGGACACATGACAAGATTTTGGCTGATCTATGACGGACTAGGACTGTCGTGTTTAACAAGTTTCTTGTAGTGTTAAGTTGGACTTGAGAAGGCTTTTGACATGCTAAACCATGACACCATTTTTGAAATTCTAAATTCGAGTGAACCTTGGGTTATCATGTGCTATTCCTTTTTCTTCACGGTACTTTACAAACCCGAGGTGAGATGTATTGGTATCCATTTGAGTCATACACATGCTCACTATGCCGGTCTCCTCGTTACTGATTTTGTTCTTCTTTCTCGTTAACATGTTTTGGCATCCCCGTGACATAGTCACCTCTGTCTGGCCACTAGGATTATGGATGCCATCACATCGAGAGGCCCCTAAGAATGTCTCTCCATCGTTGGAGGAGCAAATTTGACTCTCGATCTATTTAGTCCCTTGTCAAACTTTTGGATGAACATGTAAGTTGCCGTTATGATCATTGTGTTACATATGAAGTTTGAGCAACCTTAAAGTCCACCGTATGTTAAGAAGTTACTATGATACTCTCATGGTCTAAGAAACTAAAACACATGTTATAACAATTGGCACATGTTATAGCTCAATATGATCGTTCTTCTAACGTCATATTCTCAAAGTTGTTTTAGGACTATCATTACACTTAACGATATTCTAAACTCTGGAAAACATGATCATCCACAACACTTGAGTTAGTCTTAGAGGCGAGACTAGAAATCTTATTTTTACCGTTTATCATTTCACACGTGCATACGAGTTTTCCACTTAATCGCACATTTCAGGATCATAGTAGTTATAACATAGAATATAAACTCTTAATTGTGAACATGTAAATATAATAATACAATATTATTGTCTCTAGGGCATATTTCCAACATGCACAAAGCGTACTTTGTTTTTTGTAATGCACACGTAAAAAAACCGAAAAAGGAGAGACTCCCGAGGAATCAAACTTGCAACCCGGCGTTGCTGGACTCCTCCTGCTAGACACTAGAACCGATAGTTGTTAGTGATAATCGAGAAGCACGCAAATATTTAACCATAGACCGCAGTGTCGACATTTGAAAACATTTTCTTGAAATTGTCAGCTATTTTTGGAATTACAAACATTTTTTTAAGACACAATTTTTTTTGAAATCCCGAGACATTTTTAAAATGCGAACACTTTTTAAAAATAAGAAATGAGAATACAACTATTATTTAAAGAAATATTTTTTTGAAAAAATGGGAACAAAGTTTGAAACCTGACAAAATTTTGAAGTGTGAACACTATCTGAAAAGTTAAAAAACGCGAAGAAATTATGAAACCTGAACAAATATGTAAGAAAAATGTTAGTGACATCTACAAAGGTCATGAGTTTTAAAAAATGTGCGTGAAATGTGTGATTCAAAAAAAATCGTACATTCAAAAGAAACAGTAACACTTCAAAAATGTTCATGAGTTTAATAAATGTGTTTGCAACATTTACAAAAAGTGCACATGGTGTAAAAAATGTTTTCGTAATATAAACAAATGTGTCATACCATTAAAAATATACATGACATGTATTTGAAAAAAATATTAAAAATGTACATAGTGTATTTGAAAAATGTCGCAAGCGTACCAAAATATGTTTCATGTGTGTGCTAGAAATGTACATTGTGTATTAAGAAAAATTAGACACGTGTCAAAAATGAAACCGATTAAAATCAGCAAAGAAACAAAATGAAAAGAATAATACAAAAAGAAACAAATGAAAACCGAGAGTACAATAATTTTTTTTTAAAAATAAAGCATCAGTGAAAAATAAAGTATAACGAAGGTAAGAAGAAAACCCTGATGAAAAAACAAAGTAAGACCAAATAAAACGAAAAAGAGAAGAAAAAAAACTAGAGCAAAGCGAACAAACCTACAACTACGCACCGTGCGTGGACCGGGCTCTGGTCGATCGCTCTCGGACATGGCCGGGCAGCCAGTATCATCAGTCCGACTCGTCGACCTACCCGCCGTGCGTGGACCGGGCTAGCTCCGAGTCGCGACAGGCCACCTTTAGTAGCCTATTATATACTGTATATAGCTACCTAAACTACTTCCAAACACGACAGGCGAAGAACCTCCTATACTCTCGATCGATAGGAGCAGCGTGTTATCGACCGACCATGAACCGTTTGTGGTGCTCGCTCTCCCACACGCTCCGCCGCTGCAGAGCTCCGGGCGCGCCGCAGCGCCTGCTTGACTGGTGGTGTTCTTCTGCCTCCCGCGTCACGCCCGCTCTACTCCGTCGTTGTCCACCGTCGACTGTGTCGAGGCCACTTCGTCGACAGTACCGTTGGTACGACGACCCTCGGAAGGCCATGACGGCGACGGCGATCGGCTTGAGCGCCACGGTCATGGCAGCCTGCCAGGTCGTGCCCTGCACCAACCGCTCCCACCTGGTCGTCCTCTCCGCCCAGAAGGAGCGCGACCTTGGTGAGTCCCATTTCACCGAGTTGAAGCACATCTACAGGCATAGGACGGTCGACCCACACCATCCGGATAGCGTCCGTGTACGTCTCATCGCCGACAGAATCATCCACGCCGCCAACCGCGGCCTTGGCATCTACGACAGCCGTGACGCCCCCTTGCTCAGCGTCACCCGCAAAGGGAAGAAGAAGCCGTGGGCACGGCAGCCGCACACGAGGCACCTCCATGGGCTCGACACCTGGGAGCTGGTCCTTGTCAGTGATGGTAGGATCGGAGCCACGTCCTCCCCCGGTGGCAGGATTTTAGTCTTCACCGGCCTGCTCGACTGGCTTAAGACCGACGGCGAGATCGCCTTCTGCATTGCACACGAGGTGAGGTTCCTACCGAACCGCAGGGTTTCATGTTCAGGTCCGATCTGACGACGTGCGTTGCTTTCGGTTATTTTCTCTAGATTGGGCACCACATTGCAAGGCACACAGCGGATATCACGAGTAGATTGTTGCTACCGAAATTCCTACGCCCAACCTTCATACGACGGTACATTTTTTTCTTACGACAGTACATACTATATACAATGACCGCTTCAACATATATATTTCATGTTTAATTTTTTTTGAATAATTGTTCGTTCGTACTGGTTATTTGTGTTTTGCATTAAAAACATAATGATATATATGTTTAGAAAGTACTCCCTCCGTAAACTAATATAAGAGCGTTTACAAAGAAAATATTAGTGTGTACTGTGTAGAGGTAGTCTCTTTGTTGCCAATCCTTCTTCCCTTTCAAAATAATTAATAATTTATTTAGATATAAACTTATTTAGCTTTGGAGTGTGTTATGTTACAAAAACATACTATGTCACCACAAACACCTCTCTTCTCATTAACTACTAGCCACATAAGCAAACTTGTCTAGGAATGTGTTATGTTACTTGCTATGTTAATCCCTCTATAACCAGCCTAACCGACCATCACCCGATTGAACTTGGTGAGTTCAGTCAAATTGGTCGGTTCAAAAAAGAAAGTTCAGTCAAATTCCAGTCACTATGTAACTTGCTTTTTTTTTTTTTTGAGGAACTATCTAACTAGCTAGTATGGTAATGTTCAATGTGCCCCCTCGTAGAAACCCTTTTCCAGACTTAGATTGCTTACTTTGTTTAGTATGAAACCCATGCAAGTTTTTCATGTTAATTTGAAGCTCTCCTGATAATGTTGCCTATGTATGTAAATAGGGCTGAGAGAGAGGCAGATCGCATTGGAATCTTGCTGCTCGCTGCTGCTGGTTTTCATCCAGACCATGCCCTTTCATTCGCTAAGAAGGCAGCTACAGTTGTACCAAAGTATTCTGTACTGAAACAGATGCTAGAAATTACTCATCCCCACCCTGAGGACAGACTGGCGCGTTTATCAGAGGCTAAGACCATGGAGGAAGCGCTTGAACTGTACAGAGAAGCTACTGCCAGGGATAAAGTAACTGAAAAATATTTCAGTAACCCAACCATGTAAGATATACCTTTTTGGGTGAATTCCACGCAAAGTCGGGCAAATGGTATTTTAATTATTTTTTAAGAGGTGTGTCCGTAAAGACATCTGATACTTAATATATGGCCTTAGATCTCTCCGCAAAGATAATGGTATTTCAATTTATGAAAATACCATCCAGTAAGATTAACTCTCCTAGTAACAAAGACTAAACTGATACCCCAAAACCCCCTGGTTACTAGTCTGGAGGTGGAACTTGAGGATTGTAGATGTTAAACTGTATATTGTTAGGATATAGGAGGTTGCTAATATTGTACTTATCTCCTATAACCAACTGTATTTTGTGCCCTAGTTGCACCCTATAAATACATCCTGAGGCCACCAGGTTTGGTGCGCCGATCCAATCTCTCTCTCTCTCTCTCTC